TTATTAACAGAACTCTAGACATATTGGTGACTGGGATGGATCCTTTCAAGCTGTCATTGTGCACAATGAAGATCCTCACCTCCTCTGAGCCGGACCTGAAGATGAGCAGGTCGAAGGGGATGGCAGCCACCATGTCAATTAGGAACCAGCCCTTGAAGTAGTGGACGGCAATGCGTCCTGGGTGGCTCACTACCTCATCGTTGGTGTTGACATAGGTGGTACGGAAGTTGATGATGATATCGATGATAAACATGATGTCCACAATAAGGTCCACCACGTTGAGTGGGTTGCAGGAGTAGGCACAATCGTTTTGCGCTGCATCCTCTTGGTCATTGAGCAAGAAAGCGGCGGAGTAGGGTGTGAAGATGGCTGTGTAAATGACCAGCAGCAGGATCAACCAATCCCACACTGCCTTGAAGGGGCTGTAATGTAAAATTGTCCATTTGTGGATCCGAGGAGCCTGGAGCTTGTACTCTGGAAGGACATCGGCACCTAATGATAAGACCTGTAAAACAGTGAAACCTGGCGTCAGGCTTGTGCTGCCAAAACAGCAATTAAACACGTGGATGAGATGAGCAATTGGAATAAAACACTAGAAGACAGAAAAAACAGGGGTTCACAAGACCAAGTAACCAAGTGAAATATCGTGACGCTAAGATAAAATGTATGGTGAGAGGTTCAAAATGTGCTCTATGTCTAAAGTTCATACACTCATTTAACTTTAGATTGCATATATTGCACAAACTGTATTGAATTTTTTGTGAAATTATATTGTGAAATTCCACAATATACAGTAAAGCCAATAAGTCATTTTTAAAACTTTTCAAACAACATATGAAAAGGATATTTAACATTCTTCAGCTAAAATCTATGCCAAATTCTTCATCTTAGGTGTTATTAAAGATTCTGCTCAGCACCACCATTTCTAAATGCTGGCTGTCAAGTAACTTGTCACCTTTCCCATAAACTAGTATTATATTTATGATATAGTTTAATCTCTCAGTTGACATTTCATTCAATTTTTCATTGCGCATTGCTTAGAAATTTTTGATTTTTGATTCACAAGTTAACGTTAATAAGAAAGTATGCCAAAGTACTCTGAATACAGTACTCAACAAACAAGCTGTCATCTTTGCAAAATCTACATTTGAAACACATTTATATCTGTAAGCAACACTCAGGTTTAAATCATTAAAACACATATTCAAAAAATCAAATGAAAGGAAATGGGATCAAAGTACAGAAAAAGTATAACAAGTTATGGACAGTTAGATAAGAGAAGAGGCCCATCTAGGGTGTTTGGTAGTTAGCAGCTAATTGATCTAAAGATCTCATCCAGTTGTTTCTTGAAATAAGCCAGGAAAATGGCAGAGTAGCTTGTGCCAGACTCCCACAACCTGTTTTCAGTATGAAATGTGACACACTGTAAAAACAAAAAATAAATACACAGTCTCACTTATATACTCACTGAGCGTTTAACACAATCCTCAGATAAATCTAGACACAGTCTGTTGTGGGATATTTCACCTCTCTTCCAAAGCTGCACAGTTACTGTACCTTCTGTTGTTGGTGTTGGTGAGTTGAGCACTCTCTTGGCTAAACTGGACACTTTTATAAAATTGCATAACATGAGCTGAGTATTTTGTTATTCTTAGGAACAATATAACTCCGACAATAAACTTTTCTATCATGTCACCAATTATAATTTAAAGAAAATTATGTACAGTATGTGAGAAAGAGCTACTCATCTATTGGTGTACATGACTATGTACTGTACTGCTCTTATCCAGTGACTTACTTGTATGTGCCATGATTTCATTTAAAACTTATTTGAAAAGTATTTAAAATGTATACTGGTTGTTTTGCATTGACTGTACATATTTGTTTTGGATTTTGCATCAATTAACCTATTTGAACTGTATAAAATATTCTTGGGCAGTAATTCATATATAACTAAAGTAATTATATAGTACAGTAGAAGATTTATTGGCTACTTAAGACATAATGTTTGAGTGAGGGGCTGCATCAGTGTGCATTAGCTGCATAGGAATAAGTAAAGGTTAATTTAACTATGAAAAATAGAAAGGAGAAAAACAACGCTGTAGTTTATTAGCCTTATTACTCCTTTCTATTTTACAGTGTGGAATTAACCTTTACTTCTTACTTAATACATAATTCCTAGCATCTCATACGCATTTTATTTTTTTCTAGTTCAGTGTTTTGCATCCTACATTGCAATTGTGAATAATGCAGAAATATGCACGCCTCTTGAGAGAAAGTAACAGAAAGAAATCTCATGGGAATTGTTTATTGTCTATTTAATGATAAATGGGGTCTTGTAAAAGACCATTTTCAGAATTGTATCACATACTGTACAACACATGCTTCAGGGTATAGGCAAAAAACTATTCAGTCTGAGAAAAGTAAAGACAAAACAAAGATCACATATTTTTATTCTTTCATCAGAAAAAGAATAGGTTATAGATGAGAATCCATTAATCCTGCCTTCTTTCTTTATTATGAACCTTATAAGCTCCTCTAGTCATTTTTTCAAAGCAATTATTTATCCAGGAAATAATTGCACAGTTAATAATTTCAATAATATGCAGTTTTTTCAAGACAAATAGGCAAAGAAGGGCCTCTTATGCCATCCAGTAACAGAAGCATTTACTGTAAATAGGTATACAGTACAGATATCGTTTAACACATTGTTGAAATCTACATGTATTGTGCATATAAGTGAGAATGCTTGCGGACATCTGGGTTAGAGCATTTTCAGAAATCACAAATTGGTTGAGTTTTTTTCACTTAAATTAGTGAAAGTCTTTTCAGGTTATGATTTAAGGGTGACATACTAATTCTACTGGATTATGACGTTTTTCTCAGTCTAACCCAACAAGAGCATAGAAAACTTATTTTATCCGGCTAAGCATCCATGCCTTTTTAATGTAGTGCTACACCACTGCTTCTTACATCTTTTCTTTTGCCTGTGTATACTGTGTACCCACTATTGTTGTATTCTTCAATGTCTCTTTGAGTTATGTCTCTGTCATTCCATTTACTGTACATAGTCCCATGTTAAGGCCATAGCTTCTGTTTATTGCAGTTTATCCCTAATACCCCCGAACTTTAAGTACAAGTATTTAATTATCTGATCCTTTGAAATTCTGCTTGTCCCTTGTGATCACTTTATGTCTCTGCTTACTTCTCTTGCAGTTTTTCTCCAGATTCTACCTCCTCCATTCTATCAATTGTATGTAAGTAAACAAGAGATGGTATTTCGATTAACAGAATTCTTTCAACAATTACTCAGTACATGGGTAATACACACTGACTGGAGAACTGATAATGTAGCATCCAATCATAAAAACGGTGACAAGACTAAACCAAGAAATTATACACCAGGATGTCTTCCCTCCATTAAGTGTATCATTTATTGAAACAATTGACCCGAACAAGAGGATCATTAGTATTTTTCTGACTGTATTCATTTGTACAGGAGGAATTTACTGGAGCAATGCTTAGTGAAGTGCCTTGCTAAAGGATGCAACAGCAGCATCCCTCCTGGGATTTGATCCTACAGCCCTCCATTCTGGAATTCAAAGTCCCTAACCTCTTACTCCTCCCACTGCTGCTCCTGACAGGACTGTCAGCAGTATTGCTATAAATAATCATTCCTCTGCCCCGGGGGGTAGGCAGGCCGGCATTATTATTAAGGCCAGCAATATTATTATCATTTGTTTGCTTAGCAGGCATCATTTTCCAGGGCAACTTACAAAATAAACCATTGGTTGCTGACTGCTCTTTTCTTGAATGAAATGAGGGTTATAGGAGTAAACTAATATTTTCATACTTTAAAAATCCATATTTTTTATTAAAATTTAATATCCTCTTATATAAACAGAATTTGGTAGCATTTGTGCCTTACAGTGGAGCTGATGTCTTAGACAACAATGATTTTATTTTCTCCAAATTTGCCATGCAGTTCTGTAGTGCATGAAATCAACGAAACAGCACTTAAATATAGTGAAATGCCCTGGGTTCTGGATGATGTATGTGTAGTTTTTGTGTTCTCCCCATGTTCATGTGGGTTTCCCCCCAATATTTCAGTTTCCTCCAACACACCAAAGACAAAGTTAATAAGTAAGTTTTTAGAAATATGGCCCTGGTGTGAGTGTGTGTGTCCGTGTGATTGACGATTATGATGATCATGGAATTTCCCATAATTAATACTGAAAGTAAATATTTTGGTTATAGCAGGAGATAGCCACAGTGGTTTTTGATTGCACGTTTTTTGTTTAGCACAAAATAAAGTGAATACTGTAATTCACTGTCATTAATAAAATAAGAAAAAAATGGAGCAGTTCTTGTTTGCTTGCACTTTTCTTACTACGTTATCTTATAAATAAGTTGATTATCTTTTTCTCTACTAAGAGTCTATGTATGTCTTTTTTTAAAAAGGAAAATCAACTTAAGAGACATAAGAAAATTCACAATGTATGTTCATTACCTCGTATTATTACCTTTTCATGTTACATTTTTGCATTTGAAATTGACACCACTAACAATCAGGATTAGTGCTCAGTAAATTTTCAAAATACATAATTGATGAATAAGTGGGATTAACAGATAATGTTTGTCCTGGCATTATTCACTTTGTGAAAAACATTAAAATTAAGGCTATAAATGCATTTATCTGTGACAGTAGTTAGGAATGTAGGTAGATATTGATAAAATAATCATTGTACATTTCTGATGGTCAGCTTCTGCAATTTAGTTTAAAAAAACAAATAAAACCTGAAGTTTGAAGACATTACTGGCTTATTGAGATGTAAAGATTGTCTTTTCTAGAACTGGCTTTTTGTGGATCACTTCTAACTTGTCCTTTAATTGGACAGGGGGGGAAAACATAGACAGTCTGCTGGTGATTTCTGAGTAGGGCACCCAGCTCATTTGTGCACTGGTAAAATAAGCAGATAGAGATCTCTTTGTTTAGGTGTTTTACAAAGTACTTTTTTTTTAATGACAAGCAAATGCTACTATTTGTATATCAAGTTTTTAGGTTAATATCAGGAAATAATGCTATGAATGTGTAATGTGATGTTTTATGTTTTTATGCATTAATGTTTTGTCTACCTATCTTTTTCACCTGAAGGTCTTCACTAAGGGTGGCCTGGGAGTAGGAACATTCAAGCTGAAGTAAATGATTAGTGAAATGATTGGTGAAATGAACTGTACTAAAATCGTGAAGATTGAGTGAAGTAAAAGTTTCTCTGCATCTGATCTGAGATGCTGAGATACAGGAATTTGATCATTCTTAATGCTGATTGTGACTGACTGGCAGACTAGTAACAAATAAATGCTTGCCTTCTCTTCACATGACAGGGGAACTGGCAAATCTCATATTCATGCAGCCCTGATTTACAAAACGCTAACACGGGGAAGCTGAAAAAGATGAATAAATGAAAACTGAAACTTGATACTGCCACATGACATCATATCACT